CCCCAAAACCCCAAAACCCCAAAACCCCAAAACCCCAAAACCCCTTTGAAGGTAAGAATAGTTGAAAGAAAGTAAAGAAATGAGTTGGATGTTGAGAGAAGAATTTTAAGGTTTTTGCAGATTAAGATTTTGATAAGTGGAAGTTGATTTTTGAGGAATTTAGTTTTTCTAGATTTTATAGTTTATTTAGATTTTTGTGCTTTTTTTGTATTAAATTGGGTTTTCATTTGCTCGTTTTCTTTTTGAAGTTTGTCATTTCTCTTTTTAATAATTTTTAATTTGGCTGATAATTTTGTGTTATGTACAACCTTATCTCTTAAACCTTGACTTTTTACTTTGATCCCAGATTCATGAACTAAATTTGATGAATTCTACTTACTCTTTGTCATTTCTGATTTGGCATGTCTCCTTTGACTATTAAAAATTGATTTTTCAGAGCTATTATCAGAAAACTCATCTACAGAGAAGCCTTTAACATGTCTAGGGCTATTGAATGCTCGTAGTTGGGTTCCCACAGTTGTTGTAGGGGTTTCATCAGTTTGCACAGTTTTATTCCTATTGATATATGGAGCCATCAAAGAATAAATGTTCAAATTTGAAATAGCAATTTCTTTGATCTCTTCCATTTTCTCCATGATCGACTTGCTAGTATTCATATTGAATGAATTATAAGGGTTCATGGTTATCTTTCTTAGTATCTTATCGAATAGTTGTTCATGCAATCTTGTTATATGAGACACGTATTTTTGTGGAAGAGTAATCTCCTAGAGATTTATAAGTTCACTAACCTCAGGTATTTCTGTTTTATCCTTAATCTGACTGTAGACGCTATAAAAAGATTAGACCTCCTCGTACTTGTCAGAAGAAATTAAGTCTTCAGATTGCTCTTCCTCATACTTCTCCTTTAACTCATAAACCCTGAACTTGTAATAGTTGGAGTCGTCCTTGAATTGGTCTCTTTCTTGTTTAAGGAATTCCATGGTTTGCTGTCAAGAATCTTTGTCCTGTTCTAACTGATCAAATCTGCTCTGAAGATCTGAAAGCCTATCTGTCATCTCTTTTAGTTCCTCCTGTTTGTTATTAAACTCATTTTGAAGGGATTCATGAATGCTTTCTTTGTACTCAACCAATGATCTGTGCTGAAACACAAGTTGGTGCAATTTTGATTCATAACTAAACTAGCTCAGACACGTCAAGACTAGCCCTTACTTTTTCTTATACTCCCGGGCTTTCGTCTTATAGTCTATTTTGAACTTCTGATACAAATTTTTCATACCAGCGAAAATCTAAAATTATCATAAACCATGTACCTTCTCAATGACCTTGCCTCTCTCGGAACACGTCTTGGAAACCTAGACCTCTTATAACTGCAGGTACCTGCTTGACTAGTTCTTTAGAGCCGGCTTCATAAATGGAAAGGATTCTATAAGCACTTGGTAATACCCACAGTTGAATGGGATAGAGCGTATTGAAATTTTAGGCCTAGACTTCACACAAATTCTTGCTATGCTAGAATGAAATGATCAACATCAGCCATTAAAGAGTTTAAATAGATCAGCATATTTTATTGGTAAAAAGAAAGGAGCTCAAGCAGAACTTAGTGAAATTCTAAATCTAGCAGTTACTCTTTTTCGACAGTTTTCTTCAAAATTTATTCAAATATTCTTTTGAAACTTCCCAAAGTCCAAAAATATTGCTAAATAGTTTCTAGTCACAGTTAGATTTGGCCTCGAAAGAAAGCCAGTTTTCATGGAGTTCTGCTCATATTAATGAACAATTTTACTCCAAAGATAAACTTTGCTAGGGGTCTAATTTAAACCTGGCACATACTCATCTGTATTAGCATCCCTTTCTTTAAATTCCTTCGCAGTTAGATCAACACTGTTTACAGAGACCATTGAGTCTTTAATCATAGATGAATTCCTGAATCTTTTATGACCAATCATCTTGGGTTCACAGACCTTAAGCTTCTTGTCTAACCATGTGAGCAAGTCCTGAGCTTTCTTCCGACTCCCACTGATGAAGGAGGCCTATGGGTTAGAGGAGATTTTACGCTGTAAGTTGTACTACCCTCTTTTATCTTAGTCTCAAGTTCTTTCTCGTATTCTAAAAGAGATTTTAGATGCAAAAGAAAGGAATAAGGTATGTTATGCAAAGCCAAGGAGATTACCTCGAACACTCCTTTCTTGATCTGGCTCTATTGATAATTTATTCAGGTGCCCAAGATTTCCAGATCTAGATCGAGGCAAAAAGTAATTGCTGATTTGATTCTCCTGTTGGGGTATTCCAAGAAGAGGGCCTACTGATTCTGGTTGAGAGAAGGAGATATCATTTTCTGTAATAAAAGCTCTCTTTGAACTATTATCTTCAACCTTCTCTTCCTCAATTTGAGGAGCTTTATCAAAATTATTAATCAAGATTGAGGCTTTTCTAAGGCTTTTACTAGAGATGAACTTCTAAAATTACTTAGACTTGGGCTTAGCAGCAATGCTATCTCAGAACTGGCTGAAAGACCTGCCTGCCATAATAGGTCTCTTATTTCTTCGTCACTATATTCATTAGTAACAGCAAATGTACTGTTCTACTGGGAACATCAATAATAATCTTTGACTTTAGAAGATTAGTGTCCTTCTTATAAAACAGTCCTTTCTTTGTAATGATGTTCTACAGAATTGGTTAATATCTGAGATAAAACTTCTCCAAGCTGGATGTAACAAATTTGCACAGAGTGTACCTTGCCAGTTATCTTCGTGATCACGTTGTTAGAGGACTTAAAAGAAAACACAGTCTTGTTTCTAGTCCGCTCTCCGCTTCTTCTCTTCTTCTACACAGTGAGCATAAATCGGGGCTTACGATTTTGATCTTCTCTTTTTGAATAAATTCTTCCATATTTACTGAGAAAAAGTTGGTCTCTAGTACTGAGAGGATCGAAATACCTTTCTTTTCTTTCTTATGCTCACTAATTAGTCAAATCCTGGATTGTGTTGATCATTTCTTTAAACACAGAGTTGTTTTCCTTTATTTCTGAGTCTAAAATTGGTTGAATATTAGCATATTGGCAAATTCCGAGTTATATTATGATGGAAAGCATTAGTGGTAAAGATTTGTAAACCATAAATTACCTATTTTCTCAACCTTCGAGATACTTCTTCGACCTAGAGAAAGAGGTAAGCCACAATATGCATGTTGAAGTAAAGAGCATGTTGGAGATTTACTTTTCATTCGTAATATTTTAATTTAAATAATTTACATCTGGTTCCATCTTTACTTCATCCTTAGGGGTTTTGGGGTTTTGGGGTTTTGGGGTTTTGGGG